TACACACACACACACACACACACACACACACACACACACACACACACATATATATATATATATGTGTGTGTGTGTGTGTGTGTGTGTGTGTGTGTGTGTGTGTGTGTGTGTATATATCACTACTGAAGAATGCTCCCAACTCTTCAGAATTAGGGTGACCCTACAGCATTCAAAATCTGCCCTTATTGCTATTTCCTAAATAACAAAAAAGTATCTGAGAAAGAATGAAAAAAGTAAGCACAGAGCTGTATTTTCTTCATTCACAAAGGTGTGGAAGAAAGTTTTGTTTGTTAAGAAAAGGCACACACCTCCCCAGGAAATAAAAGGAGCCTTCCTTCTGCAATGGATTTCAGATTCTAATTTGAGTAGGGGGCCCCTAAAGGGAATCTCTGGTTATTCTTTAGTAGTTTACTGTACCAGTCTTTCTCTCTACCATGCCCTTCCTGTGGGGCACAGAGATGCCCTTCGTTTTTATAGCTTATAGCTACTCCAGGCCATTTAACTCTTACTTTCACCCCATTCTGATGTGACTGTCTACTGGATGCATACAGCTTTATTTTATGAACTTTCCTTCAATTCTATATGGCATTGCCTAATTCTATAGTTCGGTGATCCAAAGTGTGTTGCTTAAACTGCTGAGAGTACATAAAGTCATCTTAGGTAATGCAGTAATAAACTACATATAGATGTGTATATGTATCAGAAAAAAATAGTTATTGAATTTGCCTTTGCATATATAATTCTTCCAATGATGCTTAAGATAAAAAACAAGCCACTTGGTTTGTGAAATTAAGCCAATAATGAAGGTAGCGTGGGAAGGTTAACTAATGTTTGATAAACACTGATCTAGTTCAGCTCCTGTCCTCCGCTACACCACACTGCCTGCGGGTTCTTGCCATTTGCCTCCTCCAACACACCTGTCCCACAGTGGATTCCTTCTCTTACCTGCTTATCACTCATTTTCACTTGCAGTCCGTCAACCCAAAAGGGCGATGTCTGGACAGAGAAACTGCATGTATTTATTGTTGGCACTTTGAGTTTGTTTGCTGTTTCAGGCATTACTTACTACATCACTCTTCAGAATATCCACCAACTTGTGTATTAGAAAGCCATATATAATTGTTTAATGGCATCCAGAAATGATTGTATTCTTCCTTTGGGCAACAGCTTGACTGAAGTGAAATGAGAGCAATGGAATGGAACAAGAAGGGGGTCTTCCCATTTCCAACCTAATGGCAATCAAAGACTTGAATCCACTAGTAGCCTTTCAATTATATAACTTCTGCTCCTTTGCTGAATGTCACTGTTGTCCCTTGAACACCTAGCTAAGGAGGCACAAGAGTATGGAGCTTGGAAATAGACCTGCACTGCAATTTCCAGGTCTCTACATTCTAGCTTGGTAATTTCATACCCGCTTTTGTAACCTCAAGTGTCCTCAGTTTTCTCATTCATAATATGGACATAATTTTAGGGATAGGGATATTTCATAGAGTTATTACAGAGAATAATTTAATTAATTATAAATAATCTGATTTATATTAATTAATTTAATTAATATAAAACATATGTGATATGTTTTATAGTTCCTCGCATAAAAAACATATACTAGTTCCTAGTACATAAAAATTTTTGGTAACTGTTTGCTATTATTATCATTTTAAATGAGTCAAATTATTTCCAGTCCCTCTAGCTACATTATTTGAAAAGAGGCTTCTCTTTCTTCACTTGACCTAAAGCAGAATAACTCATTCAAAGTTATGCTGGAGAGAGGTGATGAACAAATCAGTTAAGAGCTGGAATTCAGCCACAAAAAAACATAGACTTAATAGTTACTTTCCCGTTCAGTAGCTATCTTGTTGTCTTGAGCAAGTTACTCCCCTAGTTACATTCTTCTGGTTTTTGAAACATAAATGAAATACCTAATAGGGTTAAACTGAGAATTAGGTAAAATTGTGCATATAATGTACTACCTAACAGATGTAAGCTAGCAACATTCAAAAAAATTTGGTTATTATTATTAATTGGAATTTTTTTTTAGTGATCGGCAAAACCTATACATAGTTTTTCCACTGGCAGGCAAGAAATTCAGCATGCACACACAGACACACAAACACACAAATCTGGTTACAGATTAAACAAAACTTGGATA